TGTCTACCATTTTAAGTTTTTCTTTATTTTTTTTAAAAGCAAAGATACTAAATTAAGGCCAGGCAAATGCTGGTAGCCTTGCTTAGATGACTCCCAAATTTTACTGGCACCTCCTACCCCTTCCTGTTCACTTTTTATGTGGTTCTCTAGTTGTGGAAGGGCTCCCAGCCCTACTGTCTCTCAGTTATTATTAGTACGGTGATGATTACCATCACTAATTAGCACATGCCACTATCTTTTTCATGTAAAGGTTTTTAAAATTCCGTATTTGTGTAATGTGCTTTTGTTACGATTGCTGTCTTTCATTCTTCCGTGATTCCAAGGTGGTATGTTTCTTCCATTCTGTTTTCCGGTCCGGGTGAGGAAATGTTGCAACTTATGAGTGCATATTTATGGACCAATTGGTTTGGAAAGTGAAGGGGGAACAGAAGAAAGAAAAAGGAATGAGCCTCCGCGGGAACTTAGAAACAAGAGACACGAATTTGGCAGCTGTGATGTTTGGAGTTCTTTAAAACATGGGCATCGTTTAGAGTGTTCTGGGGGGCAACGAGTGAAAGAAATCAGTATGGTGATGAGGAGGACTTTTACTGTTGAAGGAAGAAAGGGAGAGGAGATGAGTGCTTTTTCGGAACCAGTTGATTTTGTGCAGAGCAGGAAAATTATCTACTCCCCCCACCCCCCCACCATCTGCTTCCCCAGGGTGTCCTTTCACCAGACTTGAAAGGACAACAGGTTTTAGTAGTCTTCATGCATTCGACATGCGGGGCTAGTCCAATCTTTCTGTTTCTGTGTCTACCATGAAGACTCGTTCCTTTGTCACAAGAAGTAGCTTTTTTTTTTTTTTGAAGGTCAAGTTAGACAATCAGGAAAAAAAAATAAGGATGCTTAATGAACATTTTCCCCCCCAAAACTAAAATGTCGATTTGTGGTTGTTGTTTTAAGGCAGTTGAGCTTCAACAAACTGAGGCACAGCATCTCATGCCAGATTCAGAGTTTGTTTTGAGTGCTGAGGCTGAGAGAATTGAGTAGGTTACCATGGCAGGTCACTAAATTAAAGACATCCCAGGGGCCTGAATAATTTGGAACAACTTCATTAAAAGGTCAAAGTTACTTAGGATGGCTTGGATTCAGGTGGCATAATAAAAGCACTGAGGAATATTTGCAATGTGGTCAATGTGTGTGACTAACACCTCACCCCATGTCACCTGAATGTCACTTGGTGGGAGTCCCTGGCTCAGAGCCATTACTTTGTCAAGCAAAGGCTACTTCTTCCCCCTTTTTGTGAGAAAACTGTGAAGATATTGCTACAGGGCAAAGAGTAACTGGGGAGGCAGCTGACTGGGGGACGGAGGGGCCCTTGGTAGGAGAAGCTTAGCCAGCAAGGAGCACACATCATAAAGCAGGGGCCGCAGCACTGACTCCATTGCGTGGCGGCCCTCCCCCATCCTGGAGGAGAACCATCCTCCACGGGCTTTCAATGGCTCCTTTCTCATGAAGTCTTTCTTCGGAAGCACCTCGGTGTGAATTTGAGCCTTCAACCTTTCTACTAAGCGCACAAACTGTTTGTATCAACCAGGATTTCCCAGTAAGACGATGGCTTCTTCTATCATCTTCTGTTTTCCACAATTTTCCACCAAAACTTTTTTTTTTCCCTTTCAGAGCATCGCTTCTTTGTTGTATTCCGGTGAGTTCAATTCTGACTCTGAAAGATGACTGTATTGGATTTTGTAAAGTTAATCTTGAGCTGGGGAAGCAGAGACGAGGTAGGGGACGCAGGTGGCGCTTCAGCACCATGCAAGCTGACTGGGGCTTCAGGGCACCCAGCAGTGATGTCAGATTTGTACTCTGGTAGAGCCAATTCCATCCCCTTTCTAGAAGGCAGGCAGGGTAGTGTGAATATGCAGGCTATGAAGTAGGCTAGGCGCCCTGGCGGTGACAGAGTGGCTATTATGCATTGGGCTGTGATCTGCAAGTTCCACAGTTTGAAACCACCTGCCGCTCCTCAAGAGAAAGACAGGGTTTTCGACTCCTGCAAACCATTCTGTCTCAGAAACTCACAGGAGTGCAGTTCTACCCAGACCCACAGGGTTGCTGGGACAGCCCCAACATGACGGCACTGAATTGGTTTGGGGTTTGGGCATAGGCAGACGTCTTCTACAAGCCTACCTCAGCTGCTTACCAGGCCTGGTGTTAGGCATCTCACAACATTGAGGTCATCTTCCTTAATCATAAAAGAGATTTTGTGTGGTTGTTTTGTTTTACAGATTCATCATGCCATTCACTGAATTACAGCTCCTATTCAGAGCGGCTGCTTCTATCCTTTCTCTTTTCCTTGGCGTCTCATCAAAGATTTCCCCTGCCAGTTCCAAGGTCTTGGGACGTGTAGTTACAATACCTGGTTGAGTGAGACAGGGTCCTGGTTCCCAGTCAGTAGCAAACACCTGAGCTGTGCTCCCGTTGCTTTTTTTTTATTTTTTAACTGCCATTCCCAATAGCAACCAAGGTTCCTGGGCCCACAGTACCCCCTGATGGCTGATATGGTGAATTTTCTTTATCAACTATGACTATTTTTCCAATAAAACTCTCCACGGTGTTCATTCCATCATGAACATTTGTTTCTTCAAACTGTTTGATCTCCCCTCCCCCACTCCCAGTTCTAGCTCATTTCTTTACTTCTTTATTTTGTTCTATTTATGAAACCCAAAATCATGATGATAATGATGGATAACTCATCCAGGAAAAGAAGAAAACACATATTTGGAGGTAAAGCATGATGTAGAACCAACAACATTAGTTTCTAGGGCCCTGTCAGACATCCAGATGTCTTCTGCATAACCTGTCCAAAAGGTACAATCTATGCCTCATCTTTCTCCTTTTAAAATGGGCCTGTTCTCGAGCTTCTTCTTATTCTCCTACTTGCTGAATTGCTGAACATTGTGCTCATGTGACTTCTTCTGCTTCCTTGTGAATACAATTCCATTTCAATAAGGGTTAAGCACATTCCTGTGGGTTATTCTGGAAACCAAAGCACAGTCTTTCAGCATTAGTTCTCTTTGGGACAGAGAATTCAAAGATCGGCACAACTGCTGCAGAGAGAATTTTGGGGAAACTAATATCTATTTTTAACATAACATTGAAGATTTCTATCGGTGGCCAGGATGAAAGCATTCATTCTCATGTCTGTGTTCTCTTGTTCTCATAGAACAAACCATGATATCCACTGGGATTCATAGTGAGGAAGGCATTCAAGTATGACTCTTCTGGCCAAACATTAGTTCTGAAGCACATGCTACTAGATCCTAATTTGCTATGTTACAGGGATGTTGCCAAAGGTGGTTAAAGTCATAAATTTGAGTATAGATTACTTCTTGACAAAAACCCATTAAATAGGTCTCGAAATGTAAATATTTGTTGACCTAACTTAAATTCAAATAATGCCAATGATTTTATACCTTTATTTTTCACGGTCTAACTTTAAAACGCTTTATAAAGTACAAATGATTTGGTGCGGATTATTCAAAGGGCATTAGCTTTATTTTTAAGTGCTCAGTTCTTCTGATTTAAGAAGGTTGTTCTCAAGTTATAAGTCTGTAACTAAAGAGCAGCTGAAGTCCTGATAAAACAACTGACTGAAGAATTTTCAAGTTAACATTAAGAGGCTTAATTTTTCCAATTTCTGGAAACTAAATTTAAAATTAAATGGTAGGAAAAAACTGAATTGTTTAGCAAATGGTACCTGAATTCTATATATTTAGCAAAATGATAATATAAGCTATGTGTGTGCTGCATAAGCTATTTAAGGAATGCGTAATTTTAAAATGCTTTTTCTAATTTTATCATAATTAAAATAATGCTTGGATAAGGTTTTTTTTCCCTTCAAAATAATTTCCAACTCACAGAAATTTAAGGGGGAAAAGATACAAATTAGTCAAAGCAACAGTTGCAAGCCACCCAATTCAACTTCATCGAAATTCTAGGGAAAAGGACATTCAAAAATTCTAAAATTATGCCAATGTAACAATTGAAATGCAATAAAAAGAAATCAATAATGATGCTTTTTCATCTTTGTGTTCACATAAGAAAATTATTTGAGTTGATCGATTCACAATTCTCAGAAGGAAAGAGATACTTGCTTTCTGATGGTGTGTACCTTTGCATTCACAATGTTTGGGTGATACAAATGAAAGCATTCAAGCTTAATGTTTTTGAAAGCATTGCATTTCAATTATTTTCTCAGGACCCAAAGAGAAAACACCAGGGAAAACCTAACCAGCCTGGATTGTTTAAAATGCATTTTGCCTTTAATTAAATAAGAAACATCTGTCTAGAGATTTTGGAAATGAATGTAATCCATCCACACTCTGCCTGTACTCGTTTGCATCCAATGTCCAATATTTTGGAAGAAAAGTCTGTCTTTCTGTAAAGAATTAAGCAGCAACATGGAGTGAAGTCTGGGTCTACCACACATGAGCCTTGTCTTAGAGCCCAGACACTGAAAACCTAGGGGTGTAGTGTGTCTTTTCCTACATCTGCCCTCGGAAGCAACTGCATTCCCTCTGTGATCAAGGTTAAAGTCAAACAAACCAAACTCACTGCCATTGACTCAAAGCCAAGTTATAGTGACCCTGTGCGACACAGGTCAACTGCCCCTGTGGGGTAGTGAGAGGTCAGCCTCGTCTTTCTCCCTCCGAGTGATTGCTGGTTTCAAACTGCTGACCTTATGGGTGGAACTTAGGGTGTAACACGCATACTTCTTCAAAGGGGCTGTCCTCTCTGAAGTGCTCATCTCAGGATATTAAGGAACTGTTACTAGCACGCGTCTAAGACTCAAGGACCCTCTCGCGGGTTCTCTAAACACGGCCCCCCCCATTTCGTCAGGCCCTGCAGACCCAAACACCCCCTTCAGGCCACAGAGTACAAAGAAAAGTGCGAAGCTGACTCCAGGAAGGCTCTCCTTTGAAACCAGGGCCCCGCAGCTCAGAATGACAAAGATCACTTACTGGTGGTGTCAAATGGTATCTGTTTGCACTGAGCAGACCCCTCGGCCGGCCAGGGACAGTAATAGACGGCGCCCCCTTCCAAGATATCCGGCTGGCTGGTGTTGGCTTTGGGAGCCCCCACTAAGACACTCGCTCTGTAAAAGGGATGGAGAGAGTCACTGGTTGGGTATCAGAAAACTGTGAGAATGAAATCTAGTCTCTGTTGTGGGGAGTGCAGGGCGACCTGGAGGTGGGGGTGGGGGAAAGTATTGATGATGGGGCCTGATTGTCAGCTTTGATTCCTCCTGGAAACCGACGGGTGTTGGAAACTCGGTTTAGAAGACAGTGTAAATAGTCCTCATTCTTCCCTAGGTGAAGCGACGCGTGCACAGGGAGATGAGCGAAGAGAGAAAAGGCTCGCGGGGCAGAGCCCACCCAGCTGCTTGTCGCAGACAGGGCTTGTGCCCAGACACTTCATTGTCCCAGGCTATGGATCACCCGGCCAGGATGTCGTCCTCGTTCTCCCAGGCTTCCGACTGCGGGGTCCCGCTCTCTTCTTTCCACGGTGTTTAACGGTACACCGAGCTCCCCAAGCAAGTATCAGGGCTCTAGTTCAAAACTCACACAATGGCTCACCTAGCAGGGAAGGGGGAGGATGGCACAGGCTGGGAGGCGGGATGGGTCTCCAAGTGGGCAGCGGGGTGGATTTTCAGCCACAGGCTGCAGGGGACGATGCGGGTTCCCCCCCACCCCGGGGCGCAGGACAGAGCCCGCGCCCCAGAGCGAACTCCCCAGGAACCCCGACTTACGTGCGCGCATCAGGTAGGTGGAAGTCCACCGCGTAGCCGAAGTAGCTGCCCTCGGGGCCGCTGTACACCGTGAGCTTCTCCACGTCCAGGTTGAACGCCTGGGAGGCTGGGGACCACAGCATCCCCAGGGCGGCTGAAAAGCACCAGAGCGGCGCGAGCGGCGGTGCCCGGCAAGCCGCCAGACCGCCACCGGCGCGGGCAGACATCGCTCTCCGTCCCGGGAAGGTGCTCAGCGGGGAGAGGGAGCCCGGGAGCCTGGCTGGAGCGAGCGGTGGGGTGGCGGGGGGCCGGGGGGGTCTCCAGAAGCCGGCGTCCCGGGACGGAGCGAGCGGTGGGTCGGTGGTGACAGCCCGGGCGCTCAGCCGTGCGTCCCCTGCGGTATCCTCCCGCCTGCGTCCCGGGCCCGGCTGGGGGCTGGCCAAGGCAGCGCGCGCCGAACCCTCGGCGGGCAGCGGGGCGGGGGGCGGCAGGGCGCGCTCGGGGCACCCTCTGGCGGTGGGACCCGCGCGCTGCGCCGGGCTCCCGGGACCCTTGGCCACCGCGGGTGCTGGGCGGCGGGCGGCCGGGTCCTGGCGGTCTGGTGCAGTGGCCTGGCAAGGAGAATCCGCGTTTGGGATGTGCGCCACGTCCTCGCGAGCATCTGTCCTTGGGATCCCTTCCTCCCACAAGGGACGAGCCTTGGCTCTGGTGTCCTCCGATGCGAGACTCGGACGGAAGGTGGAAAGCGTGCGCACCAGGAGGCGGAGGGACGCAGCACCTGGGCAACATCAGGAACTCCTCATGGCTGATACTTCAGTTCCTCTTTGGAGTTTAAATGCAATGACCCTCTCCTCCGCAGGCCCCCCTCGTGTCCCTGCAGAAGTACATAATTCAACAGTGAGATTTTATTTGGGTCTTCTTTTTAAAAAATCATTTTATTGGGGGCTCGTACGACTCATCACAATCCATACATACATCCATTGTGTCAAGCGCATTTGTACATTTGTTGCCCTCATCATTCTCAAAACATTTGCTTTCTACTTGAGCCCTTGGTATCAGCTCATTTTTCCTCTCCCTCCCCGCCACCCTTCCCTCATGAACCCTTGATAATTTATAAATTATGATTATTTTGTCATGTCTTACACTGCCGGATGTCTTCTCAACGGACCGTTGGGCCTATTAAATGACTTGATACTCTATCTCCTTCAGCAGCCTTTTTTTGGTAAATCATTTTATTGGGGGCTCTGACGGCTCGTATCACAATCCATCCATCTTCCGTTGATTGTGTCAAGCACATGCATACAGAAGTTGCCATCATCCTTTTCAAAACATTTGCTTTCTACTTGAGCCCTGGGTATCAGCTCATTTATTCTTTCGGCTACTCTTCATGCTAGCAGTGTGGGGACTGACAGTTGACTTTGGGTGGCAGTAGAGGGCGCTGGGTGAGATCTGCTTGCATTCATGCTTCATTTCCAATCCAGGGTTACTATTGATCTCTGAGAGGAGCGGGGGCGGGGCCCTTGGTAACGAAGCTGGGCTGTGGCCGCTATCCACAAGGGGAAAGATGAAGCGGCTGGACCGCTTCCAAAAACACTGCGGCCTTGGAAGCCCCATGGGGCTGAGCTCCACTCTTAAGTATCACTACGAGTCAAAATCAACTTGATGGCAAGAGGTTTGTTTTGTATTGATCTCTTTGTCCGCCCCCTGCTGGGGGGAGGGAGGGAGTAATTAGTAGACCAAGGGAAAGCAGAAGCGTAGATGCCTTTACATAATATGCAATCGTCAAAGAAAACAAGATTTAACCATAGAACTGAGCAGTTAAGCGTTGAGCCCAGGGGACTGGGCTGGGGCTCAGTAGACATTAAGTTATGGACAGGAGATTGAAGTCATTTTTTAAAGCATTTTAAAGTGATCTGGTGACACTAAAGGAACCCTGGTGATGCCCCGGCTTATGCATTTGACGGCTACTGCAGGGTCAGCAGTTTGAACGTCCCAGCCTCTCACTGGGAGAAAAATGAGGTCCTGTGCTCCATAAAGATTTACAGCCTCAGAAGCTCTATAACAGGGTCACTGTGAGTTAGAATTGATTCCTTGGCAGTAAATTTTTCCTTTGGTTTTGGTGGCAGACGCCAAAGTGCTAACCCCAAGATTAGCAACTGGAAGCCACTAGCACTCCCAAGAGAAAAGTGGGGCAGTGGACTTCCATGAAGATTTATTGACTTGGAACCGCTGTGGGGAAGCCTATTCTGTCCTGTAGCCTCATCCTGGGTTGGAATGGACTTGGAAGCACCAGGGAAGCAGGCATGCATGTTCACACCATCACTCTTTGATGGCATTTGAGTCATTTCCACCTTTACACTAGTATGATTCATTCGACGGTGAATACTGGGTGGGGGGTTGGGGCGGGATTCTCTATTTGAGTCCCCACTTCCAGGTCTTTGGGGCATATTCCTCGGAGTAAAATTGTTTGGTCATATGTTCACCTTTTTTGCCAAACTGCCTTCCATAGCGGCTGCCATTAACATTCCCATCCAGTTTCTCATATCCTCCCTAACATTTATTTTCTGTTTTTCTGATAGTAGCCAGCCTAATGAGTAATAAGTGTTATATTTTGGACTTTATTTATATTTCCTTAATGACTAATGACATTGGGCATCTTTTCATGTGCTATTGGCCATTTGCAATGGGAGAAAGGTCTATTGAGATCTTTTGCCTATTTTTTAATCTCCTATTTTTAAACTCTTTGTTGTTGAGTTGTAGGAGTTCTTTATATATTCTGGATCTTAACCCTTGTCAGAGATATAGGTTCCAAATATTTTCTCCCAGGGTTATCTGTGCCTTTCTTTTTATAGAATGTATATATTTCTTATGGAATTTATATATTTCTTTTTATAGAATTCTTTGATGCACAAAAGTTTTTCATTAAAAAAACATTCAGTCTTTTGTTGCTTGTATTTGTAATGTCTTATCCAGATGCATCGTTTCATTCCTTTCTTCTAACTCATACTTGTTCTTCACTGAGATAACAAGCTAGTCTTAAGATTGTCACTTTGCATTTTATTAAAAAACAAACAAGAAACGAAGCCGCTGCCATCAAGTCAATCCTGACCCTTACTGACCCTAAAGGACAGAGTAGACTGCTCTCCAAGGTTTCCACGATGACAAATATTCATGGGAACACACTGTCGTATCTTTTCCCAGAAGAGTAGCAGGTGGATTTGATTGCCAGCCTTTCAGTTAGCAGTCCAAACGCTTGGCTCTCTTGACCACCAGGGCTCCTTACCCACTTTACAGATGAGCAAATTAAGATTCAGAGAGGTGTAATAATAGTTGTGCCCCAAAGGAAATAAGTGGTGCAATTTGAACTCAGGACTGCCAGAGGCCCAAACCAGTGGCTGATGCTATTAAGTAGGTGTTGGTTGCAATGATTTTTTTAAATTTCAGTGATTAGGACAGGTACAGAAAGTGAGTTTGGAAGCACCTTTTGGAGGTGACTGTGTTTCAGATATAGACTAAAGCACCTGTATACTTTCCCAAGCAGGCTGGTGGCACACAAGTTTGGTGGTACCTTTAGTACCCAAAGAGTGAAGATTAAGCAAACTAACTTGAAGCTCTTTGACACCCCCCCCCCTCCAGGAGGCCAAAAGCCTGAAAGAATAATAAATCTTCCATGAAGCCAGGGGGTGGAAAAAGCCACCGTAATTCCAGGGAAGAGAGAGGTCTAAATAGGTACTTTGCACATTTTTCTCTTCTGACACATGGGAATCACGCCAGGTAGGGAGATCTGGAACACTGTCAAAGAGACACAGAGACAGGCCTCGTGCTCAATGAGAAGTGTGACCTCTGAAAGATCTGCTTGCACTGTTTCTTTGTCAGATAAGAAAGTCTGGGAATTATTTACTGTGTGTGTGTGCACACACGTGCATGTGTGTGTGTTTAATACTGGGAAAGGTATGCATAGCTATTTTTAAAAAGAACAGAACCAAAAGGTCAAAGAGAGAACAGATTTGGCCCAAACGTCCCCAAAATAAATGAGTGCCACAAGAATCAAAGTAATCCAAAGTACTTAAAAATAGAGATGCTGTAACATTTAACCAGTTGGTGGATGCTGTTAAAGAGAAGACCAAATGCATTTCTAACTTCCTAGCAAAGCATTGTTCCTGACACTGTTTGAATCTATTTCTTTTTATGGGAAATATGACCATGTGTTAAAGTCATGAGTCATGACAGTCCCAATGGAATCACTTCCGTTACCAACTGGCTTTTGAAGAATGCTAATGAAACTATTAACCGAAGGAGCCAAATGTAAAAGCACATGTTCTCATAGGTTCTATCAGCTTGAAATGAATGCACAGGATGTTAGTCAGGGGAGTCTAGAGAAACAAATTCACAGACGTTCACATGTCTATAAGAAAGAGCTTTATATACAAGAACAATTGAATATTGAGAAACCATCCCAGCCCAGTCCAGATCAAGTCCATAAGTCTGATATGAGCCCATATGTCCTATACCAATCTATAAAGTCCTCTTCACACTCATGAAACCCATGCAATGACGCCAAAGCAGGACGATCACAGGCCAGTGGGTGGAAGTCTTGTGGATCCAGTAGTATTGTAAGCATCTCAGTGCTGGCAGGGTCTCTGCTTGGCTTCTCCCCTTGCGAGGGTTCTGAGTAGCTTCATGTGGCTTCTCATCAGAAATGTCTCGCAGGGAGTGAGCAGAGAGAGAGTGTGTCTCCCACCTCCAAGGAGGAAATACAGGAGTTCCCAGAATCCTCAGGAGAAGGCCATGCCCACACAGAGGCCTCATTGGGTATATCCTGACTGACAGGCTAGACTCCACCCCTACACTCTTAATCCTCAAATTGACACCAGATTGTATAACTACCTCAAGGTATATTATGCCATGAACAGCCAAGCGACCCTTGGTGACAAAGATCAGATGGAAATTCTCTCTGGTCTTGTCAAAGCTGATGACACCCATAAAACCAGCAGGCTAGGTTTTACCAGTTTGGACTTTACCATCAGTCTTAATGAACTGCTGCATGCAGGTTGTTTTAACTCCATCACCTGTCATAACATACTTAAGTCTAGTTCTTATGAAAAGGATCAGCAGGAGATATTCTCTCAGCTTGTGGGGGCCAGTGGATGGGCCAGGAGCAAACACACCAGTCAGTTTGTGATGCATCCAATACTTTGGAGCAGCTTTATACACCTGCGTGTATAAAGCATTATGGGAACAGATGGCCTCGTTTTCTCTCTTAGAACAGCTGGTAGGTTTGAATCTACAACCTTGTGGTTAGCAACTCAGCACCTGACCCACAGGACCACCAGGATTCCTTTTACCAAGGTCAAAAAACAAAACCCCAACTCTGCCTCTTTGTGGTTTCTGAGACTGTGTGTGAGTCTAGTTAGTCTAGAGAAACAAATCCAGAGACACTCATAAGTGTGTAATAGAGAACTTTATACCAAAGAGTAATTGTATATTAAGAAAACATCCTAGCCCAGTCCAGTTCAAGTCCATAAGTCTGATATTAGTCCATATGTCCGATACTAGTCTATACATTCTTCTTCAGACTCATGCAACACAGGCAATGATGCCGAATATAGGAAGATCACAGGCCATTGGGTAGAAAGCCTTGTGGATTCAGTGGAAGCATCTCAGCGCTGGTATGGGTTCCCAAGTGGCTCCTCCAGCTCCAGGGCTTTGGCATGTATCTTGTCAACAGGAAGATGAAGCTCAGTGTGTGTCCACTGAGCTATTTATCTCAGTAGTGCCTCCAAAGGAGGTCATCAAGCTGCGACCTGATTGACAGGCTAGACTCCACCCTTTTGCAAATTGACAGGAAACTGTGTAACTGCCACAGACTGTAAGTCCTAATGGGAGTA